GGGTTTATAGTCTTGGGGTTTAGGGCTTAGGATTTTTTGTTGCTTACACCCTGGACCGAACCAAAAACAACATGCCCCAAACCTTGAACGGAGGAACGAGGAGTCTCCCACAAGGGCCTGAGTGGTGAAGGCAACAAGAACATGGGTGGTTTTCTAAATTAAGGTTCCTTTTGGCGACCCTCTTATGAGGGTGCCGTACTATATTTGGGACTTAAGCAGGGACCCTAATTTAGAGAACTATCCACATCGACACTGTAGAACACCATCACCAAAGCCCCGTTGACAAAGGGGCCTGCAACTGCGACTTAAATAAAGGATCAGTCTCTTCAAGACCAGTCCTGCACCTCCCCACGTGCCACCGGTCCCATTGCGATCTCTCTGAATAAAATCTCTGGCACACATGGCCACGGACGACACTGCCCGAAAGCATGATTCCTTGATGAGGAGCCTAATGCTGTCATGATGCCATGGCAGGCAAGCAGAGGATCCATGTGATCTTAAACATGCTCTGTGATCTAACATATTGTGGCACATTCTCGTCAATAGTCTTATTCCGCCAGTGATGGTGGGCATGGCTTCGGTGTGATGCCGGGTATCAGTCTTATAAGCACTGTGTTTCCTACTACTGCCCTGCCTTTTCCAAGCGCGACGAGACTGACCATGGTCCTTGACGGCCACTAGGAATCCTGATTAAGTTTCCTGGTGAGTTATATGGGAGTTTCCGAAATTAGGGTACCTTATTTTGGAGTCCTTATACTAGGGATCCTAACTATTTAGGCTACTATATTAGGGTACCCTAATTTTTGGAAACCCCTATATGTGACGGCGATGACGATTGTTGCTTCGGCTGATGCGATGAACATGTCTATTTACTAGTACTGCTAGCATCGGAATCTGGCATTGTATTGTTCTCGGCATCCACTGGCCCTAAACCCTAAACCCTAAATCCTACTATCATGTCTATAGTTCAGGATTTGGACTTAGTGGTTTCAGGCCTGGGGTCTCCGTGGAGGAGCAGAGGAGGGTTAGTAGGGTGTTTAGAATTTAGGCGTTTAGGACCTATTGGGGAATTTTATAAGGTTTAGACATTAGAAAGTTTTGAATCTAGGCTTTTAGGACCCATGGGATTTTTTCAGGGTTTAGAAACTAGAAAGTTCAGAATTTATGGCCTTTAGGACCCATGGAGATTTTTTAGGGTTTAGGGTTTAGGAAGTCTTGCAGGGCCTTAAGGAGCCCTAAACCCTAAACCATAAACTCCTAAACCCTAAACCCTAAATCCTAAACCCCTAAGGAGCTTCGGAGTAAGGGGTTCAGGAGCGGGGGGGGGGGGGGGGTGG